ATAAGAATATACATATTTTTTTCTGTTAATGTACAAATATTTTTCCGATGTGTTTTGGATATTCCTTCTCTAATAAAAAGAGATACCATTTTGTTTTCGTTTGCATAAGAAAGAATATCAAGCATTTTTCTTTTTTAAATTTAATTAGCCACAATAAAGAAGGAACGTTGCAATGCTACGTGCTACATTAACGACGTCTCTAGAGTAACTGAATGACTGTTCATATAGAAATCGCAGGTATTAGTCTCATACAACAACGCCCCCTATAGTTCGTTGCGATCGCGAATTAAATTATATGTGTATCAAAACAAACTAAAGAAATATTTATAGAAAAACAATACTTTTATTATTTTTATGCTAGTGAGAACCAAAACAATATGGAAATGAATGAGGGAAAAATGGATCCTACCACGTGATTTCCCGTAGCGTTAAACGTTTAACGCAACCTTATTGGAAGTCGCATAAGAAGTATAACTTCAAAATTTTTTTTTAAATCCTAACTTAAATTTTAGATAAGTAATGGGAAAATTGCAGAAAGTTATTTATAAATGCTTTCTTTTGTCTTAATTCCTTAAGATGTGTTGACTTGACAGTTGCCTAAAATGGTGAAAATCTTGCAAGAACTAAGCTTTATGAATCAAGACACTAATATTCTAATAAAGCTTTTCAAAGTAAGCATTTACAGGGTCCCCACTCTTTTAACAAAGCAAAAATTAAGGACTTTTTTAAAAAAATTTAGGACTTTTCTGTAAAATTAAGGATTTTAAAAATAGTATAACTGTATATCATCGAATATACATATACCACCAGTGACAATTATTTACCTTTCTTAAAAAAGAAATTCAATAAATAAAAAAATTAATAATAAACAGTATTATAATGTAAAAGTGTATTAAATGTCGAAGTAGGACCAGGTAATGATTGAAAACTCTGATCAAGTTTTTGTTTTTTTTTTTTGTTTTTATTATTTTCAGATAGTTAAGGGTTAACGACATCTATGAAATTAATCCGTATTCTATTTTTAATGATTTCGTTGAAAAATTAAGAGCAAAAATCAAGATCTGCAATTTTTCTTCATTTATTAAAAAAAAAAGGAGTAAATAAAGAAATTTGAAAAAAACGTTGAAAAATTATTAAAAAAAGTTTTTATATTTCGCTACCAGAGATGCATCACATATTCAGTTGTGCGCCAATCTTGCTAGTCATTCAGTTACGCCAAAAAAATTATTTCTTTTTAATTAAGAAAATGTTTTCATTTATAAGGGTATATATTAAAATAATTGATACTAAAAAGTTGAATTAGAGTTATGTATGACTGTAATTTTTTAACTTTGCCATGTTATATTAAGTCTTTTTTCGAGTAAAAACAGACCATACTAATTCATTCCGCTTTTTTTCATTAGGCTTAACTTATTATTTTTTTAAAATTTATTGCAATAAATACTTTTATGGAACACAAATACAATTATGTTTGAGAAGATTTATAATTTTCAAAAAATATTTTTTTTATTAGTTCTCGGTGAAACATATAAATAAAAGGGTCTAAAACGATTTTTTAAAGGTATCAACACATTCCTATGGCCAGAAAATTGATACAGTTCCTCAATTAACAAAGACTGATAAATTATTTATTCTTTCATCACTTATAGATATTTACTAGTAATATTTAGTTATCATCCTCTATCCTTCTTAATACTATTCTCTACTATTATTATGATTTGATATTTTATTTTTATCGCAAAATTAACAGTTTCAAACTGGAAGTGGTATTTTTTTATTATGAAATTATCCTGTGTCCATCAAATTGCAGTGAAAACAATGTTTTTTAATTTCTTATTCATTTAATTTTTGTTTACATTTAAATGTTCATTTATTTTCGTAATGATTTAGTTTATTTTTTGATTTGATGATTTTATTTACAGAATATGGCAGCCAGATGGTTAAGCCGTTAGCGTGCTTGACAGCGAAGCCAATGGCTGCGGGTTCGAATCCCTCTCCGGGCTTGGATGTTTCTCTCTGTGTTGTTCTCTAATGTGTGAAAGCTGCCCACCCTATAAACGGGTATCTGTGGCAGTGTGGTGTGGGTAATGCTCCGTGACTTAGGTTCACAGGTGCCCACTGGGTAACGTTAAATAATGATACTTCCGGTAGCTTCCTAGGAGAAGAACGTAAAAGTTCTGTGCCTGTCATTAAAGAAAAAAAAATACAGATTATGATATACTGCATTTTCTTATCATTTGTTTATATTTGTATTTATCTATTCTTTAGTATGTAGATTATAAAGTAATTTATTACTGTTCAAATTATTTGCTCCAATCCAAATTCATTGCTGTTACAAGTTCAAATTACAGAGAAAAATAGTTTTAACGGCGAAAATTACTCCAGTAAAATTATAATAAATACGTTTTAAACTTGTAAGGTAAGTAAAATGTTTTCTCGTTTGGAATTTTAACATTGTTTAATCGAATTAGAGAAACTGTTATACGACTAAGTTTACTTAACTAACGATAGCTGAACTAATCAAATTAGGAAGCAACTAAGAGCTTGCCACACTATTTCTTCAACAACTGCAATATTTTTAAAAAAAATAAGTACCACTTCTTGCTGAAATGAAAGAACAAATCGGCACAGATTTTTCGCAAGTGAAAGCCGAAAAATTATAACTAATAATCAATTACGGTCATTTAAAGAAAACTTCATATTATTTAAATTAAAATGCATGATAATAAATAATTCTACTTACTTCAGCAATTGATGGTGAAAATATCCAACGAACGAAATAAGGAAGGAAATGAAGGAAGTTTTTTGGTACACAGCTTCTATGGAATAAAACTTTTTAACCTAAAGAAAAATAGAATAGAACGTAAAGGAATACAACGTTTTCAACGAAAATTAAAAATTTTTTAACATGTATAATATTTTTATGGACGACTAAATTTAATTCTAGGAGGATAAAATCAACTGTTCTGAATTTTTGACGAACTCTTCAGATAATAACAATAAAAAAAGCTAACGGCAAAAGAAGCAGGTGTTTAGAATTTTAACATTGTTAAATCGAATTAGAGAAACTGTTAATTACGACTAAGTTTACTTAACAAACGATAGCTGAAGTAATCAAATTAGGAAACAACTAAGAGCTTGCCGCACTATTTCTTCAACAACTGCAATATTTTTAAAAAAAAAATAAGTATCACTTCTTGTTGAAATGAAAGAACACTATCGGCACTGATTTTTCGCAAGTGAAAGCCGAAAAATTATAACTAATAATCAATTACGGTCATTTAAAGAAAATTTCATATTATTTAAATTAAAATGCATGATAATGAATAATTCTACTTACTTCAGCAATAGATGGTGAAAATATCCAATGTATGAAATAAGGAGGGAAATGAAGGAGGATTTTTGGAACAAAGCTTTTGTGGAATAAAACTTTTTAACCTAAAGAAAAATAGAATAGAACGTAAAGGAATGAAACAAACGTTTTGAACGACAGTTAAAAAAATTTCTAACTTGTATAATACTTTTATGGACGACTACATTTAATTCTAGGGGGATAAAATCACCTGTTCTGAATTTTTGACGAACTCTTCAGATAATAACAATAAAAAAAGCTGACGGCAAAAGAAGCAGCTGTCATGATTTTAAAATCGTTTGCTTTTTCTATGGAATATCAATTAGATGTTTTTCTTCTTCTTTAAAAAAAATAATTGTCTTTTATCTTTTTGAGAATTTATCCATTCGCCATTTTATAAATTGTAAAATTAGATTTAAAAGTTTTCACAAATTATAGAATGCATTAGAAACGGCAAATTATTTAACAAACCTAAAAATGCTCAATTTTTGGAATTAATCATTGAAAAAAGTAAAAAGTGTTGTTTTTCTTCCCTATAATTACTATTTCTGAATTTTTTTTTATCAACATTGTTCGTTGCAATAAAAATTGTGAATCGTTTGAAACTTTTAACAAAGGATATACATCCATTTTAAAAACGGATGGAAAAGGCATACGAATTGTTTCTTCGAATATACATAATATTGTCACGTAGAATAAATAGGACTTAGTCTATAAAGTACGAGAGCTTTATTCAACACCTACAAAGTAACGTGAACAAAGTAACTGGGGAGGCCCCAGTTACTTTGAGACACTCAGTCTTTTATAGGCTTGAGACACTCAGTCTTTTATAGGAATAATAACAGGAAGTGATAGGAACAGGAAATGATATGCTAGAACATTCTAGAAGAAACATAAATAATAAATAAAAGCTTATTTTGGAGTTTTATATTTTCTTACAGTTCTGCGGATCGAACCCTGAATCTCAGTCTTTCCAGGACGACGACTCTGACCTCTCGGTCACACTGACACGTCATTGGAAAAAAAAAACAGCGTCCACGCTGTTTCACTCGTTGACTGTTCTGGCACGTGATCGGGTGGTTGGTCCTCGATACTCCAACTTACTCTCGTTCTTAGATTGTTTCCTTGTTTTGTAACTTCTCTGTCTTTCGGCATTTTCGGTTTCACATGGTTCTAATTGAAACGATGGGTCATAGTAAGGCTTCATGCGCACCACATTGACGGTGTCTGTAGTTTTGCGCCTTGTAGATGGAGTGACGTCTTCGACCTCGTAAGTAACATCAGATAACTTTCGCTTTATTTTGTAAGGTCCAAAATACTTCTTTAATAGTTTTTCGGACAACCCAACTTTTCGAATTGGTCTAAAAATCCAAACAAGTTCACCTGGTTCATAAGACATTGGTCGGTGTTTTGCATCGTATCGTTTCTTGTCTTTTTCTTGCGCATCAATGGTACGAAGGCGAGCAAGTTGTCTAGCTTCTTCTGCTTTGCAGACAAGACGCGCAGCATAATCAGTTTCAAATCCTGGTTGGTTAGGAAACATTGTGTCCAAAGTTGTTTCAGCTTCATAGCCGTGAAGAAGATAAAATGGTGTGAAGCCAGTAGTTTCTTGTTTAGCTGTGTTATAGGCGAAAGTGACGAAGGGTAAAATAGCATCCCAATCTTTCTGTTCAACGTCAACATACATAGACAGCATATCAGCTAACGTATTGTTAAATTTTTCCGTGAGGCCATTAGTCTGAGGATGGTAGGCTGTTGTAGTGCGATGATCCACGTCACAGAGTTTCAATAGCTCCGATACAACCCTCGAGAGAAACACAGATCCACGATCCGAGATGAGAACTCTTGGAGAACCATGTTTTAACAGAATGTCTTCAAGCAGGAATTTTGCTACCTCGGGAGCTTCGGCGTTGGGTAGAGCTTTCGTAGTGGCAAATCTAGTTAAATAGTCTGTACACACTACAATCCATTTATTTCCTAAAAGTGACTTAGGGAAGCGTCCCAACAAATCAATACCTATTCTATGAAAAGGGGCTTCCGCAGGAGGGATCGGCATCAAGCTTCCAGGCGGCCTTTGCGGNTCTGGCTCCAATCCTCTTAAGCGGCGACTCCTTCTCAAATCACCGGCCAGAGCTGCTTCGAGTACCCGGCGCCTCCACCAAATGTCACGTAGAATAAATAGGACTTAGTCTATAAAGTACGAGAGCTTTATTCAACACCTACAAAGTAATGTGAACAAAGTAACTGGGGCCTCGGCTTGAGACACTCAGTCTTTTATAGGAATAATAACAGGAAGTGATAGGAACAGGAAATGATATGCTAGAACATTCTAGAAACTTCTAGAAGAAACATAAATAATAAATAAAAGCTTATTTTGGAGTTTTATATTTTCTTACAGTTCTGCGGATCGAACCCTGAATCTCAGTCTTTCCAGGACGACGACTCTGACCTCTCGGCCACACTGACACGTCAGTGTGGCCATAATATGAAAATAAATTTATTTTTAAGTACTGTTGGGTAATTTGTTGGTATATTTGCATTTATTATCGTTTTTTCTGACATTTAGTGTTAAAGGGGATCAATATTGGACGGAAACAAAATTTAACACAGTTATATTGAGAAACTTTCGTGACTGTTTAATTTTTTGTTATTATTTATTTACTTATTTTTGGTAAATTGCAAATTTTATCTATTTATTTATTTGGCAAGAATTTTGTTTGAAATGAAAAAGAAAAAATGCTCTCACATAATAATTTAGAATTAACTTAGGCTTGTTTTGTAAATGTACAATTCAGGGTTTATTTCCTTCATTCGCCTTCCAATGAGGTGAACCGGGATCGAATCCCAGCGATGGCTGGCCGATACGAATTCCGCACCCTTTTCGCACCGACCATAAAGCTGACGTAAAATATCTTCAGCAGTATATGGATCATGGGTTAGAGTCCCCTTGCCGTCAGGCTAACCGAGGGAGGTTTTCGGAGATATTCCTCTCCATGCAAAGCAAATGAGGGTTAGTTCCATTGCAAATTTTGTCCAATCCTTGATCCAGGAGTTCCCCGGTTCTTTTTAATTGTAATTGTTGTGACGATTTACATATTGATAATTATAGGGGCAATTGTTGATTATAGTGACAAAAAGCTGTTTACAAGACTTTCAAGTGACTGGTTTGTATAGATTGGACTCATAACTTTAGTGAGCGTGCACGAGTGTACACGCGGCTTCAATGAAACAAAATCACTAAAAACTAAATATCAGAACAAAATGGGACAAGGTGCGAAAAATACCCTCTTGACTTTAGTAAGACAAGTTCTGAAATGGTCCGTGTGACCAAGGGTAGCGCTTGACTTTGCCCGACAGGGAGCACAAACAAATTGATTCAAAATATTTAAATTAAAACGTATTTTATATACACATTTATTATATATCATTTTTTTCAGAAGTGTGTTTCTAAGAATTTAAAATCACTGATTTCGATACCGTTACGTGCAGATTCATTTTAATGTAACTCTAAATCGCATTTTTTTCTGTTACAGGTGCATTTTGTACTGCATGGTGCAATTTACAACACATTGTACGTTTGAAAATAACTTCTGTATTAAAGAAAAATTAGTGTCGCAGGCACTGCTCTTTCAAAAAATTTCCACGCTTCTCACTCTCACAACGCAAAAATTATTTCATAATAAAAATTTGAAATTTCACGTACGACGGCAAAAAAAAAAAAAAAGGTATCACCCTGAATAACTTTCGTTTTAATGATCGGGTTTTCACGAACTAAGAGTCAATCATGATGGTTCCTAGGCGTGACCTCAAATATGCTAATTAATTAGTGCTAACTATTAAGTTACGAAATCAGACAAAAACAAAAACAAAAAAAAACGCGTCTATTTTTGAATAAACATATATTTTTTTTTGTTGTTGCATATTTGGAATCCTGACTCTTGAAATAGGGTCGGTAGACAAAATTTCGAAAAAATTGGGTCGTAAATTGGGCCGCAATAAAGATTTATATATCTAAGGCGAAAGTTTAAAAAAAATGCCACTACCTCGCCAGAGCCGTGATGGCTCAGGGGATAGAGCGTTCGCCTTCCAATGAGGTGAATCGGGTTCGAATACCAGCGATGGCTGGGTGATACGAATTCCGTATCCGGCCTGCACCGACCACAATGCTGACGAAAAATATCCTCATGGGTAGACGAATCATGGGTTAGAGTCCTCTTGCCGTCAATCTAACCATGGGAGGTTTTTCTCTCCATGTAACTCAAATGCGAGTTAGTTTCATCAAAAAAGTCCTCCACAAAGGCAAATTTCTCCCAATACTTGATCCAGNAAAAATATTCTCGGTGGTTGATGGATCATGGGTTAGAGTTCCCTTGCAGTCAGGCTAACCATGGGAGGTTTTTCTCTCTATGAACCTCAAATGCGAGTTAGTTTCATCAAAAAAGTCCTCCACAAAGGCAAATTTCTCACAATACTTGATCCAGGAGTTCCCTCGTCTTCTGGATTGAGCTCAAAATTACAAGGCTTTGGAGTAGTCGTACCCCCCCCCCTCAGATTAACTTACCATTGCATAAATTACCTTGACAAAGAAGGTGACACAATTTATCAACCATATATAGAAACTGAATGAATAACAAGACAAGATGGCAAAACATTGTGCTTCACAGTTGCTAAGCAACCAAGAGGAGAATTTTGGGCAAGAAGCAGATTTTTTTCTTTTTAGAAAGAATTTCAATAAAAACAGAACTCCCATTTTATCTTCTTTTCCTTAGAACGAATTATTGCTGAAAATAAGTCTTGGAAATATTTGTTTTTTTTTAATCAACCCCCTCCCTTATTTTTTTACAGAATCATTTTCTATGTAAGCATCTTCTTGTCTTAAGTCATTATATCTTACTATGCACTTATTAAACTTCAAAATATGCCGGATTTACAAATTATAAAATATTGTGGATTGTTGTTGTTCTATTTCTTGCATTATAAGTTTACTCTGGTATAAATAAATTTTGTACCTAAAATGGTCGGTGATTATTGATTGGAAGGTGTATACTTTACTTACGTCGCTTTAGAGCTGCACAATGGGCTATTGGCGACGGCCTGGTAAACATCCCTAATGATGATCCGCTGCTTTGGTAGCCTGACAACCTGTGCGAAGTTGAACTCATTATGGTAGAACAGTTTAACGAGGACAGATACCATGCACCGTCTGTCCCTATGCAGGCAGATCAAAGTGGTCACCCTCGCTCTTACTGACTGCATCAAGTGATGCTCGACTTCGGCGCTCTACTAGGAACCGTGTCTTTATGATCGGTCTGAGGGATTTTCGATTACTGAAGTTAAGTGGCTTAACATTGCATATTATTTTGGTTTCTTTTACATCCGTTTTCTTTAGTATTGTTACAGAGATGACCTTTTGTTCTGAGAGAAGAGGCTACAATTTCAATTTTCCATCTGAGATACATTTTTTTTTTAAGAAAATAAAAATTCCTGAAAATTTTCATTATCAAAAAATATAAAGTAATTAAATAATATTGCACTTTATTTTCAAATTGGAGTCAATATACCATAATGTTTAAAAACGACCTAAAAAAAACTTCACAAACATAAAATAAAGCATTAAGATACAATGCAATAATTTTAATAATTTAAACACATTTTGATTGCCTCAAAAACTCAAATAAAGCATTTTTAAANCAGGATTCATCAGAAAACAAAATCCATGATTGGAAAATCTGGCTGTGCGACCCGCTGTTGCAAATACCAGCGTGAGAATGCAATGCGTTTGGGATAATCGTCAGCGCACAATGCCTGTACCTTTTGGAAGTGGTAAGGGTGTTGCAGTATGCGCATTATGGTGGAACGAGCTACACCCAAGACACGTTCGCCTTCTTTACGGATTGATGGCATACTCCTGTAGCACGGTTTTCTCTACGACAGGTGCGCGTGTAGCACGTTCTCGACCGATGTGGCTACGTGCTACGAAAGCACCTGATTCACATAATCTGCTGTGCAATCGTTCAAACAAAACATGACTTGGCTGACGTCCGTGCTGCGGCTCGTCCATTTCCATCAGCGGCGCCGTATACGTAATGCATGTCGTCCATTTCCATCAGCGGCGCCGTATACGTAATGCATGTCGGCCATTTCTGCGTTACTAAACTCATTCATCCTTCTCCTTCAACGTCCACGCCTGAAATGAGTGTTTTTCCCACTCTCCCGTTTTCGTGCAATTATCGCCCTCTAGCGGTCGCAGTTTTAATTTTCGGACACAAGTTCCTATGTAAATCTTGTTCATCATGATATGACAGACCAGCATGTTAAGTTTGTAAACGATCTTCTGGGACACCCTGTATAATATTTTGGATTTTTGTTGTTCTATTTCTTGCATTATATGTTTACTGTCTGTTACAAATAAATTTTGTACCTAAAATGGTCTGTGATTATTGATTGGTAGGTGTATACTTTATTTTCGTCGCTTTAGAACTTCACAATGGGCTATTGGCGCCGGCCTGGTAAACATCCCTAACGATGATTCGCAGGCATAGTAATTTTGATCCTCTGCAGAGGCTCCGCTGCTTTGGTAGCCTTACAACCTGTGCACAAAGTTGAACTCTTTATGGTAGAACAGTTAAACGAGGACAGATACCATGCACCCTCTGTCCCTACGCAGGCAGATCAAAGTGGTCACCCTCACTCTTACTGACTGCAGCAAGCGATGCTCGACTTTATGATCAGTCTACAGAGGGATTTTCGATTATTGAAGTTAAGTGGCTTAACATAGCATATTATTTTGGTTTCTTTCACATCCGTTTCCTTCGTATTGTTACAGAGATGACCTTTTGTTCTGAGAGAAGAGGCTAAAATTCCAATTTTCCATCTGAGATAAAAATTTTTTTTTTAAAGAAAATAAAAATTCCTGAAACTTTTCATTATCAAAAAATATGAAGTAATTAAATAATATTGCACTTTATTTTCAAATTGCAGTCAATATGCCATAATGTTTAAAAACGAACTAAAAAAAAAACTTCACATACATAAAATAAAGCATTTTTAAGATACAATGCAATAATTTTAACAATTTAAACACATTTTGATTACCTCAAAAACTCAAATAAAGCATTTTTAAAGGATGCATAATTTAAAAAAGAAGTTGAGACGCCTACCAGTTGCAATCCTCATATAATAAAATAATTTTCAGAACTGTGGAAGGTAATTAACATAATTAAATTAAATAAAAACTTGACTTATATAAGAAAACAAACATTTTTAATCAAAAAAGTAAACAAACTTTTAATTTCTTTCACTTACATGGTATAACATTATATGGAACAGTACATGAAATTTAACGGGTACAAACACTATAGGTTAAATTTCTTCTAATGAAGTCTAACATAGTACAACCAAAACAATACACTAGTAGGCATTCAAAAAGGAATTAAGCTTCACAGCTTTTCCACTTACTAATGGGAAATTTTTTTATTTTTTTATAAGTTAAAAATTTTTTGTAAGTGAAAGAAGTTTACAACTGTGTAAACACGTTAGATTTTTTCCATTTAAGTATCATAATTCAAAGAACATTTGAAAAAGTCAATTTTGTTACACAAAATTTCTGGTGGCTGCAGTGGAAATAAGCTCTTTTTCGTATAGAGGTAATATATAGCAATATAAGAAATGAATAATAAGAACTTTCAAAATACTCTGTTTTAAAATCTTTATTAATATAAAATATACAATAAATGGTACAAATAATTTGAGAAATTTTATGGTAATTTATACAAAATTTTGAGAAAAGTAAAATACATACATTTAGTCAAAAAATAATAGTCTATAAATGAAGTGAAAAAAATTCTGAAAATTTCAATTCCAGTCTTTAAGAGGACTTGGAAAGGGAATGAATGCAAGAGGTAAGTCAACAAACAAGTTTTCTTCAGGCACAGGTGGTGATGGAGGAGGAGTATAGAAATCAGTTAGATCTAGAAGGGGAAAAAAATTAATCTATAAAGATACTGTTTGAAAATATAAATAAAAATGTTATTTCTAGTGCATATTAAATTCCTACATTTCTTAATAATAAAATAGCCATACTTTTTCTTATCAACAAACTTGCACAAAAAAAGGTCACATTCTGTTCAGTTAGGTCACCTGTGAAAAACTTTTTATAGAATATTTAATGGCTTGTTCTGCAAATTGAACATTGATGACTTTTTAATGAAATTAAGTAACTAACATTCCAGAAAAACTAATTCCTTTTCCAAAGAAAGGGGGAGGGAAAAAAAAGATTTTCAGGGTATAAGTAAGAAAATCTGGCAAATTTTCACGATTTGCATTAGCACAAATTTAATCAAAATTTCCCACATATTTGACGTATGAGGAATTCACTAGACAGTTTGTAACGCTTTCTTCTTTTCTGGCACTAGGATTTACACCATAATCTAAATGTGAAGATTTTTTTCAGGGACTTTTCAAAGGTATAATTTTAAAAAAATTAGTACCCAAGTAAAATGTTTAAAACCTTTATTCAATAGATAATTGAAACAATTCAGTTAGTTAACAGAAAAGCATTTTTTTTTAAGAAAAAAGCTTAAACTTATAATAATTGCACAATTTGTTTTTGATGTTTCAAGATGACAAAAAGATACGTGAAGATTTTACTTGAATTTTTGAAAAAGCACTTAAGTAGTCTGAATTTTTATGAAAAATGTATTTAAGGCTCACTTGAAATAAGTTTACTATTACACATATCAATTTATAATTAAAAAAAGCTGATTATACTAAATTTAAAATAGAGGGCATTACCTAGTAAGCACAAGAAACATTAAAATTCTTAATCAAAAACATAAAGGCTTTTTTTTTTTAAAATTTTCTGTTTTATAAAACTTTAAAATAGTATACTAATCACAAACTACTTAAATTTTAAAACAAAACCAATCTTAAAAGACAAAATCAGATACAAGAAAGTAAATAATAAAAAATACCCATCAAGTTTCATTTAATTTTACAACTTTATTTTAGGGCAAAATTTGCAAAAGATATTTAAAATTTTTACTATGAGAAAAATAAAAAAATAGATAAAAATTTAAAATAAGAGATAATAAAAGCATTTAGTTAAATTATACCAATTTCTAATCAAGAGTAGGCAAGTTTAAATAATGAGGACATAAACTTATTTTTTTAGAACTTGGGAAGAAAACTTATCTTCGTGTAATTTGCAAAGTATTTAATACATTTCATGATGTTTTAAGACAGATTTTCAATAATTCCCCCCGCTAAGCATCAAGTATTTCAGAAAGCAATCTTAACATATGTATGAAAGGTGCATAAATGGATGCTTCAAATTTAGGAGTACAAAATCAGACTTGCACATTGAAAAATATATTTAATTTTTAAAAATGAATATGATTGATCTAATATCCTTTACTTCTTTTAATTTAAATGTCTGTTCGCATTAATTATTAAAGTGTATGCTATTGTTGGTTAAGGTTTTCTTTTTAAAAACTGGCATACTTTAACTTAACTGTTCTCCAAACAAAACATCACCTCATTTAACATTTTCCAATTTAGTTTAATTTTCCAATGTTTTAAGATTGTGAAGTGCAAATATGCAATAATTCATGAACAGGAATACATGGCTACGTACAAATTTGAAGATTAGATTATTAAAATAAGAGTAAAGGTAACATTTGATTACCTGCATAAAAGAAAGTTCATTATTTTATTTTATTTAATGTTGTTGGTGATAGCAGTTTTGTTTTATATTAAAAAGAAATAAATAAAAAATGGAATAAATAATAATAAAAATTCTTGAATTTACTTGTGTCTGCCCAGCCGATAAAAAGCTTTAAAATCTTTTTTAATTTTTTACTTAAAATTATTTTAAGTTATGAAGATTACAACATCATTAAAATAAAAGTAGTCATATTTCGATTAGCTGTGCCCAACTATAGCCAATTTTTTTATTTTATTGTCATTTTGTTCTATGTAATATAAATAAATTGTGAAGATTATTTGTAACCACCTAATCAAAAATGACAAAGAATTCATATCAAATTAAGAATTTTTTTCATCTAAGCTAAAAATTACCCGCACCATCTAAAGTAAATTTTAGTATGTTCTCCTCTTCCTCAGTCTCAGCATCAATTCTTCCAATATAACTGGTTCCATAGAAGAAATAAAGCTCATCTCTAGTGAACCTTTCATTTTTTGGAATAATATCTTCATACTCATCTAAATATAATACAAGTTATTAATAAACAGTCAAAAGAAATACAACAAGCACAAATAAGTAAGGAAAACTAAGTGTTTATCATTCATGTTCTATTTTAATACACAATAGCTTTTTGAATTTTTTTTTATCAATTACAAAGCTGGAATTAAATTAATTTATCTTTCACTCGACAAAAGAGTTCAGCAAATTATTTGATAATATGTTATGTTTATTATAGTAAATTTGAAAGATTAGATAAAATGTTTTCCCAGCAAGTTCTAATTTGTTTATTATAATTATGAATAATATTTTAAAGAAATTAGTTGATTGAGAAAAAGAGAGGCATTGGAAAGAATAGAGCTAAGATGAAATATCCAAGATGATACATTTTTTCCTTTAGTACGTTTGAACTAAAATTCAACAAGACAATTGAATGATACAGATACTTTCCTTATAAGATAAATAAAATAATTCCAGAAAAAGTATTAAGGAGAAAACTATAAATATGCAATGGCTTTGAACAAATTAAAGTTGTGTATAACATACCTTTTGGTTCCTCATAAATATACATATTTTCAATTTCAGGCCACTCTTCTAGATCCTCAGATTTCTTAGTATCCTAAAGAAAAAACAATTTTGTAGTAAAAAATCATAGCAATACTTTGGCAGACACCTGGCGTAACCCAAAATAAAGAAAAAATAATACTGAAATGGCATGAAGATCCTTATTTGTCTGCACGTTTTGGAATATAAATGTTTAGGCATACAAAAAGATACTGAAAACTCTTAAAAAATACTGAATACAGTAAAAATGCTAAAAAAAAAAAAAAAAAAAAAAAAAAAAAAAAAAAAAAATTNAAAAAAAAAAAAAAAAACATGGTTGTTTAGGAACCAGATAAAGACATATTTATGGATTTAAGTTTTATGATGTGGCTGTTTCCATCTCATAAATATATCAACCTACTCTTCGCTAATTCTCCAATTTCTTTGAATCCATAAAAGAAAAAAAAAGTTACAGAAGAAAATTTATTATAAAAATTCTTTGAGGACCATACAAGGAAAATGACGATATGCTTGTTTTGAGTATATTTTACAAAAACATAGATACATATTTTTTTTAGGATAAAAAATCAGCATCTCAGTGTTAATGATTGTTGAATAAAATAATAAATTTTTACACATTTAAATTAGTTTATGTGATTAGGTTTGTCATTGATTATAGTATCAGAAATAGGAATGAATAAAACAAAAATATGAATGTAGTCGTTAAGTAGCTGAATAGTAGCCAGCCCTGAGTTGCAAAGGAAAAAATAGTTTCTGTTTAGTTAATAAGTTAAGCCTTTTTAAATTTGACACCTACCTAATATTAAATTAAACATAAATGAATATTAAAATAAATGGAAAAGCAACTAACCTTTAACACATTTTCATGATTCTTTACGTCAATTTCTGGACAACTTTTCATAGCACGAGAAGACATTTTTTTACTTTTTTCTACAGAATCAGGATTTGACTTTATTTCACGGTTAATATTTGTTGATATCTTCAGACCAACATTTTTATAATTATCAGCCGAGTCTAATAAGAAAAATTTTTAAATTTTCAAAAGCCGATACATTATGTATTATTAAAATTAGATTAATAAAATAAATAGTAACAGATATATACATACAGACATATATATATAAATAGGTAATGTAAGAAATAAATAGGAATTGAAATTATTTAAGTACATATTAAATCTCACTATCCAAAACAAGCAACCTTTAAAAATATAAAGTGCATAATCAGTTACTATCTTTTTCAAATAAATGATATAACATTAAAACTAATAAATATGCACTAACAAATGTGTTAGATATTAGCTTTCAACAATGAAATTTATTCTTTTAGAGCTGAACATTCAAGATGTAAAGTAATTAATATTTTCGAAGACTCCAGTGCTACTCTTTATAAAAATGTGTTTTAATTTTATAAGTGTACTTTATAAAATATCCCTCATCCATAACTATAAATTTAATATGGTCTTAAAGCATAACAGATGAATCTGGTAGGATGTTAATGTTTATAAAATAATGTTTTAGAGAATTTATTAGATTAAAGAACCTTAAAATAGAAAATTTTCTTTGCCATATTAAGTCACCAGTTTTGAATGGAGAAAGTGAATTTAACATGCGAGTAAATTAGGGCAGGTAGAAGTCAGTCTCTTTTTTAATAAAAACCATAGAGCTGTGAAATTAAAGTATTAGCATTGTTGCCAACATTAATTTCACTTCTTTGTGAGGGTTGGGAAATATTTTCAAGCAAGATGAAGTATTTCAACAGGAAATGAAAACAAAATATATAATTGCAATGCAATAATATGTACAACCAGCTAATAATGTAAAAGTTAAAAAAAATAAATACACATCTTTTTTTAAATTAATTTTTTTAATCCGTTATTTTATTAATAACATGCATGAACAAGTGTTGTTTTCTAAGTTGAAAATAAAAATCAAACGAAAGAAAATTTTCAAGAAGTAAATTTATTTTCAGATTCGACATATGTCTCTTTTTTTTAAGCACAGTTGCCAAATTTGTTTAAACACTAATCATACCTTTAAACTAGATTTAGATTAACCTCTTCATACAAATTTGCTGCCTGCTTCATCAATCAAGAGGTCACATGGCTGTTTTCACATATTCATCATCGTTCTAGTGATTGCTCCCAAAATGATGTTTGAAATATCGGAAAGGATGAAAATCACACAGTGCAAGGTATGGGGAGAATGGTCCAAAACTTCCCAATCAAAAGAGTCCAATTAAGCTGGGATCTGAGCTGTGGAGAGAATCATTGCCATAGAGTAGCAAAATTTCCTGTCAGCATGGCTAGGAATTTTGCTACTTCACAAATCGTAACTCAACAAATCTGTCAGTGAATGTATGCAGCAGACAGGTTTTTTCCAGATTAAAAACACATCACTGACCATTTCTCATGCATGACAGGGTATTTGCTAAATTCGAACATTTTAAAGACATAGAACTGACCGTAAAATTTCCCTACACAGCTGAAACTGAGCACAGTTGTTCCCAAGAAATGCCGGGACACAATACAAGCACTCGTTGCAATGCACGCTTTACCTATTAGTGTGCACAACAAAACGGACCATACTTGAAAAATAAACCCTCATAAATACAAAAAAATAAATAAAAATTACTATATATTACATGCAAAACCTGGACATGTTGCAGGCAATATAATTCTCAAGCACTGCTGTAAGCTATTTATTATTAAATATCCCAAGGAACATATTTTTATAACAATTCATACTTCATTTGAATAATGTTTTCAAAATATACTTCAAAAATAAAAGAAAATTATAAGATTTATGCATTTTAGTGGCAAGAAAATCCAAGCCATGTATGTTATACTCTGCAAGACATGTATGCACCTATGCTGTGTAGACAAAGACACAGTAACATCAGATAATACATAATTCAGCAAGTACCAGGATTTATTACCAAATAAAAGATCTTTTTCAGTTTTAAAAAAATATGAATTAAGGATTTAAAATCAAAATTTTGCTTTGAGAAATATTTCAGAAAAAAAAACAACACATTAATGTAAGGTAAGATTCCTTATGCGAGATTTGAAACAACTGCATATGCTCACACTTTTTTAGATCCTACGTATCTTTGCGTTTTGTTGGTTTAGTTTTACAAAGTTACAGGCACACTCACAGAGCATGCTACAGCAATATAGACATGTTAGATAGATCAATAAGAACGAAACACAAAATGAAGAGGTTTCGTTATTACAAAATGTTAAAATGAATCATGCGGTTTTATAACAATTGATTTAGTAAAAAAAATTGTTTATTAGTTTTAGTATAAAAGCTTGGTTGTTTAATTGTACTAGGTTCATAAGAAAATAAATATTTTTTGCTATTTAAAATTACAGTATATATTTATTTTAATAATATTATTTAGACGGAAAAAGTTTAACTTCTATATTATTCATATCCAATGGAAATATTTTTTTATTTTATTTTGCGGTCGAAGTTAAGATGAAATTTTATCACATTCTTAATTTATGGGTTTGTATAAATTTTTTTTATTTTAAAATCTTACGTATAACCTGAAGTGAAAAATCTCCTAAATGAAATTTACTGACTCCTTACATACTTAGTTTTCTATCTTTGGCCACAGAAGTCAAATCATTCTCCTTGGAATCTCTGATGAGACGAATGAAATTTTATCACATTATTCTTAATTTATGGGTTTGTGTAAATTTTTTTTATTTCAAATCTTACGTATAACCTGAAGTGAAAAATCTCCTAAATGAAATTTATTGACTCTTTACATACTTAGTTTTCTATCTTTGGCCACAGAAGTCAAATCATTCTCCTTGGAATCTCTGAATATCTGATGAGCCGACAGCATTTTAGATAAAATCTGTTAAAAACAAGTTTAATTAGTATAATAAGATTTTTTCCAGTATTGCTAATAAAAAAATATTTTCTGTATGAATAGAGTTATAAAATATATTTGTAAGTAATTGGATTGTTGGACAGTAAGTATACTTTCCGTTGAACTGTAAATAAAATCTAAGAAACTGTTACTGTATTACAGAAAAAATTAAATACAGTTGAACCTCATCTATATGAGGGTAGCGAAAAAACAACTGAATCTTTTAAACAGTAAAAAGTATACTGATACATTAAAAGTAAAAAGCATACTGATACATTACCTACTGATAAAACAGTAAAAAGCATTAAGGTTATTTTAAATACAAATCACTAAAGCAAAGAGTAATTGATATCTGTAGAAAGTTATATGCAATAAATTTTGTAAGATTGCTAGATGGTTTGATTGCATTTCATAATTAATTCAAACAAAAAATAGAAATTTTATTATGGAACACAGTGATTTAACAGCTTTTATTTTGTAAAACTGCATACAGAAAAGCATGTATAAGACATAAAAGAGAAATAAAAACATGCATTGGAAATATGATTAAGACTTTTGTACAGTCAACTTATTGACCAATTTAATTTAATTCCTGCTTCATAGGTCAAAAGTTTCAAATTTAATGCTTCTTCTTCATAATAATAAAATAGCAAATTTTCCTTAATTTTTCACGAGATCACAGGTATACATTGCAGTAACAGAATGACTTGTCTGAAAACATAACTAAATAAATTTCATAGTCAATTTTTAATAATACAAAATAGAGATATTTCTACATTGATACATGTTTGTGCCAACTACAATTGTCAAAGGACTTCTGTACTTGCAAAGATGTAGCAGTTTAACTGGGAGTATTTAAAACTTGCACTTTTTATGATGTTATTTATTCTTTTGGCTCAATTTTCGTCCCATGTAGATGACTTACTTTAGTGTACAGAAATTTTTCCTATAAAAATAAATTTCAATGGATAAATATAACTAATCAGAAGTAATTCGGTATCCACACCTGCAAAATCTGGCAACAACTTGACAGTGCCATGTTAGAAACTAAAAAAAAAAATTTACAGAAGGGGTTAGTAAAAAAATAATATAAAAATTTTACAAGTAAAAAAACACCTTGAGTGCGGCTGGCAGGAACGGGTATTATTATGGAAATATCAATGGTTATCAGCATTTACACGAAATACTTTGGTAGCAAAACTTATTAGGGAAACCTCAATTTAATTAACAGTATGTTTCATCAGGGATGAGAGTTGTCAGAAAGCAAAAGAGAGGAAATCCAATAATGAATATATCTATCCAAAAATTTCACAAAAAAAGAGCGATTTTTAAACTTGTAAAACATGCGATTGTAAATCCCGATGAATAATTTTAAAATTGTATGAATACATAAATATGAATCACATGCATGATTTTAAATTGAGAGAATTTCCTAAAGTTTATGTTAGGTTAGGTTTACTCAGCAAAAGCAGAATTGCCTAAAAACGTACATACTTACAGAACTATAAATTTCTCTATGTTAACAAGACATGAGGTTAATGAACAGAAGGAAAAGAAATAAAATATGAAATTCCTCTATGAAATTTATTTTTAAGTCAAGTTTTTCATATGTTCAAATTTCACCACCCGTAAGTTTTCTATTTTTAAAAATTTTTCTCTTCATCTTTAAAATTTTGTAATCATATAAAACAAAGTTAATTGGAACGGACTTTTATTGCTAAATTAGAATAAAGATTCTAAGTTTAATTTTTTTAAAAAGAATTCAGTTTCAAAATTTGAATCTTAATTTGTTATAAATCGAAACTAGCTGTAACCACATTAGTGAAATATTTACGTCATGTGATAATGTGTTATGTTTTGTTTACAGATAAATTTAAAATTCACTTTAGAATTGATAGTGAATGTCAGTGTTTAATTGTATAAGTTAAATAATTATTTAGTGAATGTCGCTATGGTGTGTGAAATGTATTCTTCCGATTTGAGGCTCTTTTTCTGTATAGTTAGTTTTGTACTTCTATTTGCTCTGCCTCAATGTTTAGCCGATTGTGGACTTATGAAACCTTTAAAGCCAAACGAAACTGCTAAAGAATTTGAACTTTTGAAAAAAATAAAGCCATTGATTGGAAAATCGTGAGACATATATTATTATCCTTTTATTTTCCTGAAAAATGCATCACAGAATATTTTTAAGCAATAATCGTTCTTTTATATAATCTATTAATATTTCATTTTGTATTCCATTAATTAATTTTTCAACTGTTATGGATCACAATTTACCTTAAATAATAAAATTTCTGTTGCTTATTAGTTGAATGATGAAAAGTGATAATTCTTGAGAAATTAGAATTATCTGTATTTATGTAGACTTAGTTTTTAATGAATCAGGTTGTATTGGAATATTTCTTACATAATGAGCATAATTTGTATAAGGACATTAAAAAAAGTACTCCATCGAAGTGAATGGAGCATGAAAATTAAAAATATTGATTCTATATTCAATTTTCTATTCTATATGCATTTTACCTTTAATATAAATATTAGATTTTTTTTAAGTTAGCTAGTTGAATGATTATAAATTAAAATTGTTAAGAAACGTGTAGGAAATTTGTTATCTACTATTTTATGCTTCATCAAGTTGTATTTGAATGTTCTTAACAAATTAAATAACTTACTTTATGTAGAGACTTAAAAAAAAAAAGAAAGGTTGCAGTTAAAAAAAAAAAAAAACAAACATATGGATGAAACTGGAAGTAAATTTTATCATCAATTATTATCTTGTCTAAATTATAGTGAATTATTATCTTGCTGTAAATTATTATCGCAATTGGATACTTTTCACCTCATGAAACCATATTTGAAAAAAATACTGTCTTAAATTTGCAGCATAAAGAATATTTATTATTTTTCAAATACATTGTTTTAATTATTTATATCTTTTATTTTTATACATTACTATCTCATATTTGCCTTTATGTTAATACCTTGCAAAGTAAGTACAGTGGAACCCAGGTTTTATGCTGTTCAATTCTTACGTTATTCCTCTTCCTATGTCATTTTCTATTTTTCTGTTCAAGCAGCCTATACCCATAATGTTACATTTCCAGATTTTATGTTTCTGTTTTTAAAAAATCCTGCTTTCTACATTTTTTTACGGATCAAAATTTTTTTTCTCTACGAAATTCGCAGAAACTTTTTCACAGTTTTTATTTTCTTCTTTTTGTTAAAAGATCTTTCTGTTCTATTTTATTGTCCTTTTGTCTGTGCGAAAGGATTTCCACTTTGAGTAAAAATTGGAAGGGTGGTGGAATGAGTAAAGCATGGAAAAGATAGTAAAAGGAAGTATCGATGCTTAAATAGCAATATTTGGGAGTGAAATTTTTCCAACAAACTTAAACTTTTGAATCATGGAATGATCCAATCATTTAAAAAACATTACCTTGAACCACTGGTTAAGTAATAATTTTTTTCTTCTTGAGTCCAATGACCTGCAAGATGCTTCTACAGTAAAAAAAAATGTTCCTGAAGCTCTGAAATTTTTTTCTACAATGTCGGACAGTGTGAACTAAAATGCATTATAAATGAGTTTAATAAATCTTCTCACGGTTAATTACTTTTTTGTTCTAATGGGAAATTTGGCTATTCCGTAAAAAATTGTATTGGTGAAGATCGTAAAAAGTCGATGATGCGTGTATTGACTGCAACACACATCCTCTTACTTATCAATTTCTTCAATATCTGATTTAGTGCCAGTTCTTAATGATAGTGATAAATATGATGAAGATAAGTGAACAATATTGAATGATATATCCACAACTGATCAAGAGTATGAAAGGATTAAAAACTCTGAAACATTTGTGGATGTAAGACTTAAAGCTAAGTATTGAGGGGGCTATTGTTATAATTTTATCTGAAAACAGAAAAAACGGCACTTTTCCGTTATACCGGCGCAAATCTCGCCAAGCAGACTTTTTGGTAACAGTACACAGTTGCTGGAACAAATCACACAAAGCAGACTTTAATGGCTACAACACATAGCAGACACATGAAAAAACAGTTAATAAATGGTTAAAATTTTTTTTTCCAAATGGGGCTTCCGTTTGCCTTCTCCACATAAATTACGCAAGATAACTTTCGAGATGATGGTGTGTCGTTCCTCTGTGTTTCTTAATTTCCCATTTCGCTCTAGTCCACAGTCTCTCTATTTTTTGCGTGTGTGTTTCAGTTTCCGGACAGGGTTCGTTGATTTAAATCAGCTTGATTTAAATCACGATTTAAATCATGATTAAAATCAAATGATTTTTTTAAAAAAATCATTGATTTAAATCAACTAATTTATATATATATATATATATATATTAATTTCTNTCAACAGCAGTATAATAAAGTTTGTAAACAAATAAGGGTAATGACGTCATGCGAACTGACCAAACCGACCAGAAACCTGGTGCACTTCGTGCGTAACTGGTGACACTGGTTTGAATATTGGAACGATCGGTGCAGTGCACTGGTGTAACTGGTTTTAATATTGGAACGGTCGGTGCGGCAAACCAGTGTAACCGGTTACACCGGTGCGAATATTGGAACGTGCCCATGTTTTGTTTACAGATAAATTTAAAATTCACTTTAGGATTGATAGTGAATGGCAGTGTTTAATTGTATAAGTTAAATAATTATTTAGTGAATGTCGCTATGATGTGTGAAATGTATTCTTCCGATTTAAGATTCTTTTTCTGTATAGTTAGTTGTGTACTTCTATTTGCTCTGCCTCAATGTTTAGCCGATTGTGGACTTATGAAACCTTTAAAGCCAAACGAAACTGCAAAAGAATTTGAACTTTTGAAAAAAATTAAGCCATTGATTGGAAAATCGTAAGACATATAGTATTATCCTTTTATTTTCGTGAAAAATGCATCGCAGAATATTTTTAAGCTGAAATCGTTATTTTATATGATTTATTAATATTTCATTTTGTATTCCATTAATTAATTTTTCAACTGCTATGGATCACAATTTACCCTAGATATTAAAATTTCTGTTGTTTATTAGTTGAACGAGGAAAAGTGATAATTCTTGAGCAATTAGAATTATCTGTATTTATGTAAACTTAGTTTTTAAATAATCAGGTTGTAATAGAATATTTCTGACATAATGATCATAATTTGTGTTCGGACATTAAAAAAAAAAATTCCATTAAAGTGGATGAAACATGAAAATTAGGAATATTGATTTTATATTTAATTTCCTATTCTATATGCATTTTACTTATAACATAAATATTAGATTTTTTTTTAAGTTAGCTAGTTGAATGATTATAAATGAAAGTTGTTAATAAACATGTAGGAAATTTATGTTATCTACTATTTTATGTTTCATCAAGTTGTATCTGAATGTTCTTTACAAATTAAATAACTTACTTTATGTAGAGACTTAAAAAAAGAAGTATATGGATGAAATTGGAAGTAAATTTTATCATGAATTATTATCTTGTCTAAATTATAGTGAATTATTATCTTGCTGTAAATTATTATTGTGAATTGTATACTTTTCACCTCATGAAACATTGTTTAAAAAAATATTGTCTTAAATTTGCAGTTTAAGGAATACTCTTCTTTATTGTTTTTAAAATTCATTGTTTTAACTTTTTATTACTTTCTATCCATCTTTTTTTTTATGCATTACTATCCCATATTTGCCTTTGTGTTAATACCTTGCGAAGTAAGTACAGTGGAACCCAGGTTTTATGCTGTTCTATTCTTATGTTATTCCTCTTCCTATGTCATTTTCTGTTTTTCCGTTCAAGCAGCCTATACTCATAGTGTTACATTTCCAGATTTTATGTTTCCGTTCTTAAAAAACCTGCATTCTACATTTTCTTGTGGATCAAAATTATTTTTTCTCTACAAGATTCGCAGAAACTTTTTCAGAGTTTTTATTTTCTTCTTTTTGTTAAAAGATCTTTCTATTCTGTCTCAGTGCCCTTTTGTCTGTGAGAAAGGAATTCTACTTTGAGTAAAAATTGGAAGAGTGATGGGGAGGATTAAGCATGGGAAGGGTAGTAGAAAGAAGTATGCGTGCTTAAATTGCAAAATTTGGTAGTGGAATTTTTCCAGCAAACTTAAACCTTTGCATCATGGAATGATCAAATCATTTAAAATACATTGCCTTGAACCACTGGTTAAGTAATCATTTTTTTCTTGATTCCAATGATCTGCAAGGTGCTTTTAGAGTAAAAAGAAATGTTCCTGAAGCTCTGAATTTGATTTCTGCAATGTTGGACAAAGTGAACTAAAATGCATTACAAATGGGTTTAATAAATCTTCTCAGGGTTAATTTTGTTTCTGATAGGAAATTTAGCTATATTCCGTAAAAAATTACATTGGTGAAGATCTTAAAAAGTCAATGATGTGTGTATTGTATTGACTGCAACACACATCCTCTTACTTATCAATTCCTTCAATATCTGATTTAGTGCCAGTTCCTGTTGATAGTGATAAAACTGATGAAGATAAGTGAAAAATATTGAACGATACATCCACAACTGATCAAGAGTTTGAAAGGATTTAAAACTCTGAAACATTTGTGGATGTAAAAGCCTTTTAAGGCTTAATTCCACAATTACATTGGAATTCGGTTTAAAAAGCAAATTCACAAACAATAGTAAGTATTGAGGGGGCTATTGTTATAATTTTATCTAAAAACAAAAAAAAAAAAAAAAAAAAAAANAAAAAAAAAAAAAAAAAAAAAAAAAAAAAAAAAAAAAAAAAAAAAACATGTAAAGATTACACATTTCTCTAGTAGTTCATCTCGTAACTGTCACTTTTTGAAATATATAGTACTTAATTTTTTTTTTTTACCCTAATTTTACGCTACCCTGCTTTGCATGTTTTTTAACAATGGTCTGACCAAAAACATAAAACTGGGATTCTGTTGTATATTATGCTTTTTAGTTTGAAATAATGTTAACCTGATGGGCTTTAAAAGATTTAGATTTGCCTGGTACTTAATATCATTTACCAAGAGTAGAAATTAAGAAAATATATTTATTTGTCTTAAGGACCAGTACCTAACTGAAAGATTTAGCTTGTTAGTTTATTTTCACTAGTACGTGCACTACTCCTAGTTTCTTTAATGCTTGCTAATTTTGGAAACAAAAATTTTTTTTTAAATATAATGTTTAAATTTTTTTAAACTGATAAAAAAATTTTTTAAATTAAGTTTTATCTAAATCAAAAATCTCTTTAAGTTTTTGTGAATTGGTATTAGAAGGGAAATTTTTTTCTCTTTCTTTCTAATATCTTTTTTCATTATTCTTTTTCTATTAAAAGTAAATTAGATAAAAAGAAGTTGCTAACAAAACTCAATGTTTTTTTTTTTTTTTTTAAATGGATGAAAAAATTTTGACCAAAGACTTTGTGACAGGATCACAGACTAAAAGGGAAGAGAAAAAAAAAAAAAAAAAAATTCAACATGCGCCTGATTATTATTTTATGGTTTTATGATTATTATTTTATGGTTTTTCAAGTCAGACTTCAGTAGTTTCGAACCAGCATAAACTTCAAGCCTTGCCTTTATTTTTTCTTAAATTAGTTATGTTAATGTTTTGTAAATCTTAAATAGGTTTGAAGTGAATGATCCTGTAGATCCTACCAAGTATACTTACAAAGTTAGTATCTGCGGAAAGATAGATGGTGTTAAGAAACTAAATGTTGGAGCACTACAAATTGAGGCAAATTCGACACACATTTTGGGACTTTATAATCAAACTGATATTATGGGAGGAAGTGAGTATGATTGATAAAGGAGACTTTTCTTTTTGCAATTAAATGTTCGAATTTAATTAATTCTTTGATTTCATTTCCTTAAGGTCATTATTCTCCTTTTTTTTAAATGAAAAACAAAATATTTGGATATCAATAATTTTTAAGAATTTTTTAAGGAATTTTAAATTTTTACACAATTTATCTTATAGCACAATTTCATTAGCTTGAAGTGATATCAGAAGCTAAAAAAATTGACAAATAAAAGATTTAATGAATTATGTTTTTTATTCGAGCATATGAAGTAAGTAAAAATGCTTTAATGTTTTTAATAAAGTACCATTTTTCAAAATTTTTGGAAATTTTTTGAGCACACTTCAAGTAAATAAATCAAGAAAAAAGGACTAATTTTAATAAGTAAAAAATATGAAATTTATAAAGTTAAAATTTTTTCTTGTAAAGAGGCTTTCACATTTTTGTTTCATGTTGTAAAAGAATATTTTTATCTTAGGAATTCTCCAAAAACCTTCCATAGATTCCTAGTAGTTGTAGTTACTGTAGAAATAAAGGAACTGAATCCTTTTGTACTGCTATTACCAGAGTTAGTTTCTATCATTGGAGTGTGATTTTTATGTTGTTAAGATTATGTATTTTGATATTTTTTTTATTATTAGAAATGAAAAAATAAACTTAAAATTTAGATTTGATGTTTGTAATTTTAATTTGAATAATTAAAAGAAATTTGAATTATCACACTGAATGAGCAAAAAAAAAGAAGAAATATTAAAGCATGTTTCTTGTTCTTGAAGTATTAAAATTAGCATTTATTTTTTTAGAAAAGTGATAAATTTTTGAGGTATAAGTTTCATGTAATAACTGACATGCCATAAATTTTCATTATTGGATGGGGAAATTGTGTATTAGTGAGAAACATTCTTCCAATTTTGTCCCTTTGCTGTGAAACCTAGGGTTAAATCAGCTTTGTTTCTAATTTTTATGTTTTAATTTTATGTAGTAACCTTAAGAACCACTAGGGCTCAGTGAGTCCAGCCAGCCCAGTTTCTTATCAACGCGTACAAGCTTATCTGGGAAGTAAAGGAAATTGGTACATGGTGCTGACTACTTTGCCATTATTATTTTATTGGTTACAACAATTGGTTACAAAATTGGTAATCTCCATGTTCCTCTCGCTTACTAATGAACTGCTGCAAGAATGCTTTGCTTTTTATAGTCTCTGCAGAGAATATTTTTCTTTCTTTTTTTGTGTTGTGTAGGAATGCAAAAAAGATTAAGAAAGGCACCATAATATTTATTTAAAATATCCTTTTAAACACATTCTCTCCGAGAAAAAACAATTTTTTTTTGAAGCAAATTCTAACACAAAAATATTGTGGACCATAATCTCATGTCTTCCCCTCCCCCAAAACAAAGAAAAGTACTGTGGGTAAAATTAATAAAAGTTGTATCTTCTGTATTTTGTTTTCATGGGTTTTGTACTAAAGCCTGTTTGTGGTTAAACCAAAACACATGATATGATATTAAGATATAAACAGTTTTTTTTATTTTTATTTTTTATTTACAGTGTTCATTGTGAGTTTGCAGTGTTTGTGATATGATCTCTTTTTTAAAAACAGTCTATGCTATTTTCAGCTGATTGGATGCAATTAACTTACTATGGTGGTGAAAATTATAGACATAACTGCAACAAAACCGGAAGAATTGCAAAAATAATGATTATATGTGACCCAGATACTGAAGTGGTAAAAAGTTTTTTCATTCAAAATTAAATCAATGTTTATATGTTAATAATTAGAATATTTGTTCTTGAAAAAAATATTTCAAAATTACAAAAATTCATTTTTGAATGTTTTTAGTTCAGTTAATTTTGTACATTTTAGTGAATAAATTATTACTTAGCATAGAAAAAAGAATGATATTTAGTTCCTACTGGTTCTTTTACAATGCTGGAAAAGTGTTTTTCATAGATTTTCAATTTTTAACCTGTTCCCATTTTGACGTAATTTAAGTATTCATAAATTTTTTGAAAATATTAACAATATCAAGTATTTATTTAAAATAACAGTTTTGATTGTTTTTTTTTTAAATATTTTTAAAGTATTTTAAGAATATCAAGTAATTATTTAAAATTATTGTTTTGCTGTTAAACTTAATAATTTTATTGAAATCAGTCGATATGCATGATTTAGTGTTTGTAGATTATATTTTATATATATTTTTTTCTGTTATAGTTCTTAACACATTATTAGTAATTAGAAGAATTATTATTAGGAGAAATGCCGTAGTTATGTAGTAAAAATCTAAATAAACTGCATATTAATTGTAGTCAAAGTAAAAATTTTGTTTCAACTAATATTTTTATTATTTAAAAAAAATATGTAAATTCAGTAACTTTTAAAAACAATCTTGTTTGGAAATTTTATGTGTGGTATTTTATTACTATGTTAATATATTATTTATTACTAAACTTCATTCAAATTTTTTTATGTGTTCTTTTTTTGAAGATTTTCTGAATTTCAAGTTTTTAAAATAGTTAAGTTCGATGTGGGAGAGATTTGAAAGTTCATGATAAAAGAAGATTACCTAGCCAGCTTTATTTTTATCGAATAAAATTCTAACTTAAAATTTTTAAGCAAGTTCATTTTTCAATATTGAGAGTTTTTTTTTTTTTTTTAAAGAGTTATTTGAAGCCTCCTTACTAGAAAAATACGGATCAAATAAGTGCTGTATCAATGTGTGAGACCACTAAGAGGATAGTATAATAATTTTGTGATAGCACATTTCAATAATACAGAAACATATTGTAAAATTATGCTACTTTGAAAAAATGTTAGCTTTAACACAAAATGAGGTATTTTATTGAAAGTTATAATATTTTTGAAATTAAATCTATTTATATCTATATATATATATATTTATATATAAAATTATCAGATGAATTTTTCATTTAAATAATTTTTTTTTTTAATATTTTGACACAGTTTTAGTTTGTTTTGGTTTTATTTTTTATTTTATTTGCTAAGTGATCCAAGATAAATAGTAACATAAGTAGGAATGGTAGTTTGTTGGAAAGAATTAATTTGATATTTTACTTGACAGACTGATTATTTTAAGTGCTTTAATTATTTTATAGGGAAAATTTGAAGTGTTGGAAGAAAGAACTCATATATCTGATGACTGTTTTTATCTTTTTGAATTTGGCAGCAGATTTGCTTGCACAATTAAACCGAAACCAGGTCTTAGTTCTGGAAGTGTATTTTGTATATTGTAAGTTTTCTTGAATTTATATTCTGAAACTAAATAATCCTTTCCTTGCAAAATACCATATATCAATTTAAATGTTGGAAATTAAGAAAATATATTTTTTAAAAAGCTTTATATGTCAAATTAAGCTGTGTAGAACTGTAGGTCAAGTTAATATTTAACTTTGCTAAACAATAATGCTTTTTCTCTACTTTTTAGCCATTCAAGTTCAAAACTCAAGGAAAAAGTTCCTGTTTTAAGTTTTTGTTTTAGATTTTTTTTCAGATTTACTTTGGTTTAATGTTAAAACTTTAATGTGTGTTACCATATTCTTTAGGTTAATTGATGTTGACATTTATTGGTTTAATATCAAAGCTCTTATCTATGTTATCATGTTCTTTAGGTTAATTGATATTGACATTTATGCTTAAATAGATATATATTTTAATATATTAAAATGCATTTAGTTTAAAAAAAAGAAACAGCAGATAATGCTAGTAATTGTAAAAAAATATTATTAATAAGTAACACTTTCTTGTTTCAGTTAGTTCTACAATTCATTTTTTATAGTGGGTAAACCTAAAACCTAATGCATTAAAAATAGTTTTCTGAATATTAAATACTTTGTATATTAAACACTTTTACAAAAATACTTTGCCAATAAAGATTGAAATACTTTACAAAAAAGTATTTAAAATTTTAAATATTAAATACTTTCTTGAAAAACTTGTTTCTTCATGGAATCTTTTACTCTTTATATCCTAAATTGATTAGATGTTAATACTTTTTTAAATGGGATAAAAATGTAAATCTCATAGGAAATATTGATGACCAAAAAATATTAAGTGTGAAATTAGTTTCTTAAGTTTCCCTTGTTATTTTAAATTTCAGTCTTGTTTTCAAAATATGAGAGTTTGAGTTTCGAACAAAACTAAATCTCAACTTTAAAGTGTGTCACATCATTTTTAAAAATGATACTAATAGGAAGCAGCATTGACAAAATTTTTTTTTTTATAAAATAATATGAATTAGATTTTTTTATTTGAATTGAATTTTATTTAATTAAATTAGTTTTTTTTAAAAATCTACCTATCAAAGCTCTAGTAAAATATATTAATAATTCTTAGTCTTATTTTTAAACAGTATTATAATTTAAGTACTTAATAATTTTAACTAAAAGGATTGAAATTATTTTATGATTATTACAAACCATTCACTGAAGAAACAAAGTTGTAGTTCTCATCTAAGTTCAATATTTTCATGAACTTGTTAAGACAGAAAATAAATATGTCAGTTAGATATGAAATAAAGAACAAATTAATTTATATTTAAAAAAATAATAATAATATTAATAGTCAACTATTCTAAATTTGCAGAACAAGTTTTTTTTTTTCATTATTTATACACACATGCTACATATTTATTAAGTTTCCAAAGCATTTTTATTCAAATAAACATAAAACTAAATTGGGATAGTTGAAATATGTTTATTTAATCATTTTTTTTTTTCATGCAGCTAATGGAAAGTTATTACATAAAAGTTTCACATTACTTTAATCCATTCCACATTAAGTCTTTTATTATTATTTTTTAGTCTATTTTGAGCATCAAATAATTTACATACAACATTCCCTCATTATTTTTTTAGATAAAGCCTCTAATATCCTTGCGATTAAACTTTAAAAAAATCACAACCTTAAGAATTTACAAATTAATATATTTTTTTAAAATTAACCAATGATTTTTTATGAAAAAAATTGATTTTTTATGAAAAAAATTGATTTTTTAAATTGAGGATTCAAGTGATTTAATTTATGCCAACCCTGATGGAGAATATTGATTTCTAAAAAATAGTATAGTTTTCGCTAATATAGTTTTTCTGCTAATTTGGGATATTAATTTCGAAAGTGTCCATTGTAACTTTGAAATTTAGTGAAATTTTCACTTGAAATTGAGATTTTACGACAAAATTGCTGCTGAACTTCAAAGTGTATGGAACTATTTTATCAATCAATTGTTGTGAAAATATGTATGTACAAAAAAAAAAGAAGAAGTTTTTTGGGTAAAATTGTATTAAAGATATAAAATCTGAAGTGTCCTTTTTGGCCATAAGAATTCAATCATATATTTCACTAAAAACATTAGATTTTATCTTCCCTGTTTAAAGTTAAAGGTCAAGTTCTAAGTGTGTGACACCATTTTAAAGAATGAGTAAAAATTAATGTTAAAAAATGTACCTATTACATTTTGAAGTTTATTAAGCAAATATCCCTAAGATGAAATTTTTTTTTTACTTTGAGTCAAAACTATATTTAAAATCTAATCTAGCACATTTTTTTGTTCTTTTGCCCTCTTTCGAAGACTCATGCTTATGTGTTGCACATTTCATGCTATTCATATTATGTGAAATAAATAATGATGGAACTTACAGTAATTCTTTATTATGCTGTAATTTTTTCTGAATTTTTAAAATATTCATTATTTTAAAATCCCAAAGCTTAAATTGAAATAAAAAAAAAGATTTTATATTTTATTAAATTTTAATTAATGTTCACTTTAAAAATTTATTTTTGATCACTAAGAGGCAGCTTTGAACCCTGGTCTCCTGATCAGGGTCCAAAGCTGCCTCTTTTTATTAGTAATGTTTAATACAAAATGAACGCAGGTATTCGCAGATTCTCTATTTTAGACCCTTCCTCCATCTAATGGTTCATTTTCACTTTCAAAATAGAATTATTAGGCTGTTAAAAATTCTGAATATGATTTCATATGGTTTAAGATATCAAATACTTCAGTTATTAATTTTTTCTTTTCCTGTTATTATCTTAATAAATAGTTGTACCTTAACCATTGCATGTTTTTCACCGTTTGGTAATTTTAATAAAAATAATGGATCGTGTTTGATTTTTATTTTAGACTTGATTATTCTGCTTGAAATTTGTATAATTTAAAAATTACTAATAAATTTTTTGTATTATAAATATTTGTAATTAGGTTGAATTTATATAACTTGTTTCATTTTCAGATTTTTTACTGCAATTCTGAGTTACCTAGTCCTTGGTGTGTTGTATAAGAGAATTGTTTTAGGTGCTCAAGGATTAGACCAAATACCAAATTATGCATTTTGGAGAGACTTTGGAAATTTACAAGCTGTGAGTAAATTTTTAGTTGATTTTAGTACCCTCTGTGCATACCTGTAGGTTTACATAGCTTTTAATTGTAGTAATTCTACAATCTGTTGTTTCTATTTTAATTTTTCAAGTATGGAGTCCATGGTTAAAATTATAATGAAATTTCCCTTTTTCGTACTAATTTTTCATTAGGAAGAAGTGCACAGCAAGGTCTATAAGAAGGTGGGACTAATACTCAGAGGATGCATTGGTTGTTTATGTATTTTAAAATTTTCTAGGAAATTTTCATTTTTATTTTGGAAATTTTATTCCAAAATAAAATATTTATTTCCATTTCATTTTGGAAGTTTTTAATGTTTATAGTGAATAAATGTTTTTAAACATTGATTAATTTTTTAACGTTTACGTAAAGGCAGGCCTTAATAGTTTTCTGTCTGTATGCTTCGAGGTCTTGCATCTTTGTATGAAAGTGTATTTAAAAAATTTAGCAGCTCTTGTCAAATATTTTTATTGCAAAAATCTCTGCGATACAAATGTGTTTAGTTCAATTATTAATTAATAAAAATTGGGCTATTAAGTAGAAGTCTATATATTTTTTATTTGTTTTGTGCAAAATGAAAGTAATAAAATAGGTTTTAAAATTCCTTATTTCAAATACAAATATAAATAATTTTTATTAAAGATACAAGAAAAAAAACTTTGCAGTTAAAATATCCATCTTTTAAAAGCTTGTTTCAATTAAAATAATCATCTTATATGAAGCTATTTTAAAAATAGCTGTCTCAGAAGTGGGTCTAACTTATTTTTCTTTAATCATAGTTTTAGGAATAATTTGTTTTTTATTTGTTTGATAATGTTAAGTTAAAAATGATTTTAAATTTTCTATGTGAAAAATGTTTATTTATTTATTTTTCTTCTTTGTTTTGTTATTGCACTTATTTTACTGGATTCCGGTACCCATTTTTATAAGCCGGCATGTTCAGAAATGGAAAGTTGCTTAACTTTTTATTTATTTATTGAATTTTACTAAAATATTAAGCACCAGGTACAATTTCTTTAGATGCTGTGGGGACTAGAATCTGTAGATCACTGGTTTTTATACATAGAATACTTTCAGCATTAATATTTTAATAAACCCTTAAGCTACATTTGTTTAATCACATTAACATATTCTGGTTAAATGAAAATTATATATATATAAAAAAACTTGTAGTGTAGTATGGTTTAAATCTTTTTAGTACCTTGAATTAGTACTTCTTTATAGATACAGGGTATCTGCACACCTGGAAAGTCATGAGAAATCATGGAAAGTCATGAATTTTGGTACTGAGCAAAATTTGTCATGCAATGTCCTGATTTTAACTATTTTTTAAAAAAAATAATGGAAAGTCATGGATTTAGGTTGCCAAAAAATCTAATTTTTAAAATGTTTTCATCTTGTTCTTTAAAAATTATGATGTTCTTTCAAAAAATGAAAGAAATATCTTTATAGCTTCTGTGATTTCAGAATTTTTGTTATTATTTATTTATTTTTTATTTTATCAACTTAAAATTCTATCTGAAGCAAGCCAATAATTGGCTAATTTTTTATATTCTGATATGAGAACAGAAAAATCAGGAGTATTTCTTTTCAATGAACAAGAAAAGTATCTTTAGAATATTATTCTACAGAAAAAAAGGGAAGAAAATTATTTGCTTTTGTATTTTTTTCAGCCATTTTATTGCTTCAACTCTTTCATTACTCTTTTTTAATTTTAAAATCTATAAATATGAAATTGCAGAGAGAGAATTGCAGAAACAGTTTCGGTTATACCTATCAACTCAATTAATGTTATTATAATGCTTTTTTAAATTTATTGTTGTGTATTTGTCGGAGAAAATAGTAACTTTGTTAAGTCATGAAAATTTCTTGGAATTAGTCGTGAAATGTCATGAATTTGAAAATCTGAAATGTAGCAGATATCCTGTAAATATTTAAATTTTAACGTTAACATACTTTTTTTTTTTTTAAAGTTTATTGAAATTGGTTAGAAGAACAGTTGCAAACTTTTTATGCCAGTTATGTAAATTTCACACATCGACTATTGATCATGTGCTGCATTTTGTCGCAAAGTTTCAGATTGTGTGTCCTTAAACCCTTTTTTTTATGTCAGTATACTTTACAAGTAAGACTTTCATATTGTAACATCACAATTTGTGTAGAATACTTTTCTGAATATCAAATGAAAAAATTGATTATATATTTGAGAATTAAGTGTTACTCTAGCTTAGATATAATTAACTTCTTATGACTTTATTTTTAAAATCAGTTTTAAATTATAAATCAGTGTAAGAATAATTTGTAATGATGACAATATTTTCTAGGATGGCTGTGATTTTATCTGTCGGTTTGGTAGTCGCCAAGAGTCCCAGGCCTACAGAGGTATTGATGACCATTTGAAAGATGAAGAAGAGAGAGATGACCAGTTATTAAATATGTGATATTTTTCTAATATGATGTGTTCATTGTGAATATTGCTTAAAAGCTTGCAGTATAAATAATCTCATAAACTGTTTACATTTCCAAAGGGAATAAGATTTTGTGAATGCAAGTCACTTCGAAATCAGGCATACCTCTGGGCATTCTAAAACCTTATCTAGTCATTTTGAAATTGATAAACAAATTTTGTAGTATTACGAAGAAATTATCATTCTTTGCATATCTGTCTTTAAAGAAATTTTTTTATTAGCATTTAGGTTGTGAAATAAGAATAAAGTTTATGAATATTTAGTTAAGATTTGCTTGGTTTTTCAGTGACTATTAATAAAGTTTTATCTTGCCTTTTTTAAGTATTTAAAACTATGCAAATGTTCTGTAAATTTGTATGGGATATCCTTGTTAAGCTTAAATTTAATAATTATGTGTTTGTTTAAATGTTTTAATATTAATAATATTCCTTTTTGTTTTTGCTACTACTTTATTTAGTCAGCTCTCAAGTGGAAATTATACCATATAACTTTATTCAACTATTTATAAAGGTCATACTTGAATAGCAGTCTAACTCTACTCTTTGAAATATGCCTTACTTCAAAGTTTGTACATGTAAATCTTATCTCAAAACAAGTACACATCCAGCTTATTTTCACTTTTAAAAATGAGACAAGATAGTAAAAACAATACATTTGTTAAACTTTGAACACGAACTTTCATAAAGTACGCAGTAATTTAACAGATATTACTGTATTTAAATTAGAAAAATTAAATCTGTTTTAATAAATGATCATATTAAAAGGAAAAAGCTTTAATAATTTTTTTTGTTTATGTATGTTTTTATACAAGGCTTAAATTATTTCTTTCAATAACTTTGTATATTTAAACTGAATGCAATAAAATAAAATGCTATATTTTTCATTAAAATTAATTATTTTAAGAATGTTCTTACCATTAACTATACATTTTTCTTAAACAAATAAAGTTTCAAATTTACTATATTTTCCTTAGTTGAAATTGATGAAACATCTTTGATAATGTGAAGTCTGAATATTATAAAAAAAGTTTTTTGAACAATTTTCAACATATTTGAAAACTAATATAAGATGTAAATTTTCTATTATTGAACTCACATTTTAACCAGTCTTAATCACTTTGGTTAATCTGAGACTTTAAATATGTTCAGTCTCTTGTTGGTAGGAACAACCCGCCCTTGAAAAGGGGGAAATCTTAAGCAAGTTTTGTCATTTGTTTAGTACTTACATATTTTTACATTTTTCAAAAATGGTTGTGGCATTAATTTATTTAAAATGCTATGGCATATGTGATAAACACAACTATGCAAAACCAAAACATGGATGCATATTGGTAAAAATGTTTATAAAAACCAATGTTTGCACAGTTCATATATTTTTTATAGTTAGTAAAGTATTTTTTTAAGTTTTCGTGTAATTATATTCTGTTTTACATATTAAATTATGTTAAATAAAGCATTGCATTTTCTTATTGAATTTTGTGTTCTGTTATTTAAGGTTTATAAACTAGAATATTATTTTTTTTTAACAAATTAAATTGCTTATTTAACAGAAATTGTTAAAACTGTGTATTTTTTATGCTTTTTTGAAACAGTTTGTAAAGGACTTACATTCCATTTAGTATTATAAACATTTATTTGCATTTTTTGGTTTGAGTCATTGCACATTTTTATAAATTTTCATATTTGTAGTTTCGAAGTTTATTTTTTACTTATACTATTCTTTTCCTAGTTTTTGAAACTTCATGTATCTTTAACCCCACCTCGATAGAGTGACAATGCTTAACAATATGTACCTGACTGCTGTAGTACTTTTAAAGTGCTTAATAATAATATGTAATATAGTAGTGCACTTAACTTTTAAACTAAAGTTTTATCTTGGTGTTCTAAACATATTTTTTTAATTAATCTCTTTTATTAAAAATCAAAAATTTGTGCATTTAAAATGAGGAAAAGCTTTAATTATTTATCAGTTTGCATTATTTTTTTTTTTAATAGTTGCAATTAATAATACTATGCATTTGATGTATATAAATAATCCTGTTTCTATACTTTAAAAAAATGTTAATTTTTTTCATTGTAGAAATAAAAAGCATTTGAATTTATATATATATATAAAAAAATACCTTATGTTTGGATATTTCAGTTCATTTTGTCTGTTTCCTTGCTTATATATTACACTAGCTGAATACCCGTTCTTCGTATAGGGTAAAAAACAGGGCATAAATTAACTGAGAAACACTACAAAATCGTATACAAACTATTCAGATAAATATCAACACAAATAATGAAGTTAAAATGATTTCAATGTTTATTTATTATTATTATTTGTTTACTTTCTCAGTTGCTTTGCATTATTAGATTGAGCAAAGCAAATTTTCTGTTGTTCATCCCATGAAAATGAAGGCAAACAATATTAAGCATCATGTGGCATAATGCACTTGCTCAAGGCAACTCAAGATATTTAAAATTTGCCACAATCAAGCTACTCTCTCCTGTACATATCGATCTATGTAATAAATCTATCATAAAAATGCACAGTATTGTTGCAGCTGTAAACGGCACCAATTTTACTCTAAAATACGTTGTGCCCAATACCAATATTAAGCATCATTGGTGTCAATAATACACAGTTAACGATACCACGGTACCGAGCTTTTTATGGTTCCCCGTAATGAATAAGTACATTTTCTCCATAAATTTTCTGTTTTAGCCTGTAGCATATTTTTATGTTATTAAGTATTCATTATCAAAATGAATTAATCATCATTGACATCAATAATAGTTTGCTGATTTTTACGTTCTCTCAAATGAACTGAGTAACATTTCTCCATTATTTTTGCTTTTTGGTACATAGCTTATTATTGTACTTTAATTAGTAATTTGCTAAAATTAATTATCCTTGGCGTCAATAATAACTTGTGTTTTGGTGTTTTTTATGCTATTTCTCAGTGAAATAGTTCAATTTTTCCAATAACTTTGTTTTTCATTACAAAACTTTGATTTTTATTTCAATTACCGTCAATTTTAAATTGTTTAGTTTTATAAAATCTCAAGAGCTGCTTTGCTTACCATTGCATTCTTAAATGATCCCTTAACTCGAAACATTTTGGATTGCCGTTTCCAACTTGAATACCTAGCATCCCTTAAGAAAACCATTGTTCTCCTGTGGGTTCCTGCCCATTGTGGGGTTACGGGTTATGAAAATGCAGACTACTTAGCAGGAAAGGGGGCCTTAATTATTCAGACTTCTACGCACCTTATGCCCTTCTGTTCCCTCAAACAGCTTATTAAGAGGACCTTTAGGACCTGTGCTCCTGAAGAGCTTATTGACCGTACTTCTACCAACTTTTGGAGGGCTACCATCCTTAATTTGCGAAATGGCCCAAGACGAAGGGCGGTGGCTGAATTCCGCTTGGCCACTGGTCATGGCTGTCTACGGAAGCATCTGTCTACATTTAGTTTCGATCCTTCCCGGTATGCACTCTTTGCAGTTCTGGTGAGGACATGGACTCCACACACCTCCGTTGCTCTGCACTTTGCAAGAATTCTATCACTGAACGCTATTGGGAAGCTAGAGACATGTTGTGATTAATAGACTTTGTTACAGCATCTTTTGTTTCTGTTCTATTTTTTATTCGCTGTTTATGTATGCTGTTACTGTCTATAATCTGCCATTGGAAATAAAAAAAAGCTACATTTTCCTTTACTTGTCTATATGATAAATCTATGTTAAAAATCCTTCTCAATGGATTTACGTTATTAGATTAATTTAAACACATTTTTAGCGAAATAGAGGCTAACTCCATTATTCAGTATTATCTGTTATAATGCTGCTGTTTCTCAAAGCAACTCATAATATTGAAAATTTACCATGGTCAAGCTACATTCTCCTGTACTTATATATTCGATGGGTAGAAATCTATTTTAAAAATGCACAGTATTGGATTCAATAATATTATGGCGGCTTTTTACGGTATCCCGAAACAAATAAATACATTTTCTCCATCAATTTTGCTATTTAGTACATTGCTTATTATAATTTCAATTAGTGCTTATGACCAAAAATAATTAAGCATCATTGACAACAATATTAACTTTTCGATTTTTCATGCTCTCTTAAACGAATTAGTACCATTTTTCAATTTAAGTTACATTAAAGTTTTATTATTTTTTCATTTTAAGTTAGATTAAGTTTTTCTTTTTAGTACATGGCTTATTTTTTACTTCAAATTGTAACTAATTACTAAAATTAATTATCATTTACATCAATAATAAGATCGGCGTTTTATTAATTTTTCTTCCACGAGTTAGTACTATTTTCCCCTTAATTTTGCTTTTCAGTTCAAAACTTATTTTTTTAAATTACATACATATAATTAATTAATTTCAGATAACCTTTGAAATATTAATCAGGTGACGTAGTCTGGTTATGCTAGTACTATCATGTTGATCTTTCAGGTGACCTGAAACAACGAATTAAATCTTTATTATTGAAAAGTTTTACAAAGAAATTTTTAACGTGACGTTGATAGGAATCGTACAATGTCGATCGATGTATATTAAGGCTGTTACAATATCCCTGTGCTACTTGGGAAGCTCGTGCACACACACACTCATTATTTTATTAACAAGATGTTATCAGAGATTTTATATGGGGAAAATACTATTTTATATCAAAACACAAAAGCATTGTTTTTACGAGTTTGATTTTATTTGCCAAACATATATATAAATCATTGAGCACTTTTCCAGGTCTCAATACAAAACTTATCACAAAAAAAAAAAGAAAAATTAAAGAGATACTGTCGAATGCGGTTGAATAATATTCAAAAGAAATAATTTACTTGATTGTTTCAACTGAACATGAAATTTTGTCAAACACAGACATCATTTACATTCATAAGCAGGATAAAATTAATATTTGAGCAGACCATAATACTTTCATAATTCCGACATCTGAACAAACAGTCTTAGTCCAATCTCTAAAGTTCCAACATCTTTTCTAATCATATTTCTTCCTCTAACACCAACATCATATCATTCTTTAATCTTTCACTGAGGCCAACATCTGAACAATCTTAAACCTTTCTTTTTAGACACAATGATGTTAATAACACTCCAAGAGAAAAGCGACTTAAGGCAAATGCAAAACCTTTACCTGATGCATTTACATTCATTGAATTACATTCATTGAATTAAGATTATAATAACAGAACTTTAGCAATAAATTAAAATATCAATCCTAAAATGAATTTTGAAGCCGTTTTTGAAAAAATTATTCATCGATGTTGTTTAGTTTTGTAATTTTGTTTATTATTTTAAATCTCTCATTCATACTTACATAAATAAAATTTTATGTACCTTAACAAGTCAATTTTTATATCATTCACACATTTTACATATATTTTATATGTAATTTCATACAAGCATACTTAAAATTAAATGTAAATATACTATGTACTTTTACATAGTAGATTAAATTTAAATTCTTTAATTTTTTTTTGTTGTAAATTTGAAGAAATAAATTGATGAAAATTTAAAATATTGCAATAACTTAGCAGTTGATTAAAATACTTTTGAGGTCAGGTGTGCTATTTAAGAGTGATTTGGAATAAAAATGTAGTATTACTATTTTAGCCTATATTTTTTTAAAAGGAAAATCCACTATTACTATTATCCAGTTAAACATCCATCTGTCTTGAGTGAGCTTTTCTCTTACTTTCAATTTACTGTGATTTGGCTGATTTTTAATCAAATCATCATTCGATTTCAGTTCCATTTATATCAGACATATCCTTTCTTTAAGACAAACCAAATCAGTTCTAAAGTTTGCAAACATTCCAGTTCTTCTATAAATTTTCGTCGGGCTGCTGAAGTAGGGGAGCCATTCCCTCTGCAGAGGATCCTCAGCGTTGTTTCCCAGACCGTCACCAATAGCCCATTGTACAGCTCTTGTGCCAGGTTAATAAAGTACCTACCTCAGTAGTAGAAGGATTACGGGTTAGAGTCCCCTTGCCGTCAGCCTAACCGTGGGAGGTCTAAATGAAACGTAAATACGGGTTAGTTCCACCAAAAAGCTGTCCACACACGTAAATTTCTCCCAATACTTACTTGATCCAGGAGTTCCCTTGTCTTCTAGATTGGGTTCAAAATTACAAGGCTAAGGATTTGAATATTAGCAGTCGTAAACCGAAAAAATTGGGTTGGCTGTTTAACGACGGTTATTTATATATATATATAAGTTCAAAATGAAGAATAAAAACAAAGAAAATTATAGACATATGAAAAAAAGGGGGTGGGAAATAATAAGTAAAAAAACAACAAACAACATATTATTAAAAAAAAAAAAAAAAAAAAAAAAAAAAAAAAAAAAAAAAAAAAAAAAAAAAAAAAAAAAAAAAAAAAAAAAANAACGAAGTAGAATAATAAACATTGTTTATATATATATATATAAAGAGAGAGAGAGAAACAGGA